GGGGTGACCTATTCTCTCCCCTAGGTGTTCATAGCACGTTTTTCATTCCTTCGTAAAAACACTTCTTAATGGTAATATCCTGTCAAAAGCCTGTCTGGCCTGCCTCGAGACTGTGAGCTCCAGACCGTCTGCTTCACCCTGACATCGGAGGGCCCTACACTAGATGCTCAGGGAATGACTCGTGAATGAGCACAGCTGCTGAGTTCCCATTCACACCTCAACAGGCCAACATGGACTCCGTCCCCCGTGCTCTTAACAAAACTCTGGGGGCAAGCTCCCTCTCAGCAAACCCTGCCCCGAGGGGCGCCATTTCTCCCAGCCCCATCTGGGGCCCAGAGGCCGGCAGTCCGGGTGATGTGCTCAGCGGGAGTTCAGCCAGAGCAGGGAGGACTGGCTGTTGAGGACTCTAAGCTCCCCCAAACCAAGACAGACAGCCGCGGGCTCAGCACCCGGCCTGGATGCTCACCTGCTCCCGCGATGGGTAGTAGGAGGCACAGATGACCCTCCGTAGCCTACTGACGTAGTTGCCGGACAACGTAACAAAGAAGCAGAGGCCGAGCATAACGCCTGGGGGCACGGCAGGGGCCGTGAGTGCCGTCTGTGGGCACAAGGCGCCGGCCACAGAGCCCCTCACCGGCCTGCTCCCCTCAAGCCCTGACCGGCGCCTGCCGCCCCCCCCGCCCCGGGCCCTCGGGGGCGAGGTCGGTACCAATGACGACGTAACCGGTGGTGTTGGGCTCCGAGGGGCGCAGCAGGCAGCGCCGGGACAAGATGCTGACGTTGCTTTGCTGCAGGACATCAAACGCCGACACCAGGTCCCGGTAAATCTTCCCGGTATAGCCAGTGCCCTCCACGGTTATGGACACTAACACGGGGCCTGGCACAAAGGCAGTCTGCGAGGGGCCCTGCCGGGGGCGGCATACAGGCCACACGTGCCGGAGGGCAGTGGCGGGGCCCCGGGCGGCTTGAAGGGGTGGCCCCGTCCCCCCAGCCGGGGGCCTCTGATGCCCCAGGGCCTCACTAAGCCCCTGGCCCCCAGGACCCTCTCTGAGATGGCCTGGGTGGTCCGTGAGTCCATCGCCTGCCTCCACGACTGCCCGGAAGGGCTTGCTTTCAAGCCTTTGCTAATGTGTCCAGGGTCCAGTGTGTAGCAGGCACTGGACTGACTGCCTTATTGATCACGTTGGGCATTTTCTGACTTTTTCTGTTGGACCTCTGGGACACAGGATGAGATTAATTATATTCTGTGGTCTACGGCATGCTGGCAATGGCCTACCGGGCACTCCCACACGTGGTGTCATGTGCCTCTCAGAGCGACCCGGGGGACTGCGGCCAGCATCCCAGCTCAGCTGAGGGTACTGAGGCTCTGGGGGTTCAGGAACGGGCCTGAGTTACTACCTCGCAGAGGGCGTGGCTGGGATGGAGGCAGTCCAACTCCAGATCCTGTAACTACTCTGTACGGTACAGCCAGGACATGGACACAGGGGTCCCTGGCAGAGCAGAGAGTTGGAAGGGGCCAAATCAGGGGCTGATGAGTAACAGTGACTTGGGGACCCCCGGGCGATCCCCCAGGACCCAGGAGGATGGGGAGGACGCTGGCCAAGGGGGCTGCTTCAGGAAGTTCAGGCACTCACTGCGGGCCACAATCTCCCCCTGCAGCTGGTACCGGGCCAGGTCGAGCACCCAGAAGACAGCATAGTCCAGGAAGACCAGGACCAGCACAAGGAGTAGGTGCCGGACAAGGTCGAAGATTGCCAGGGTGTAAAAGATCTGCTCCCACCGGGACAGGAAGATGGAGCCTGGCGGGAGGGTGGTTAGGAGGATGCTACCCCACTGTCCTGGTGGAATGCCCCCCATTCCGAGCCAGAGCTTGTTTGTCCGTCTGGTGTGGAAGCTGTGAGGGCCTCTGGGCAAGGGTGGGAAGGGGCTTTGAGGCTAGAGGAACCCTCCCTCCCGGGCACCCCTGCCCCCCTGCCCCCCAGGCTGCATCTCCATACTAGCACGTTCACACTTCCGGCCTCACCCCCCAAACCCCACTTTCTTGGTTGGCATCCACTCCACACCTCCGCTTCCCTGCGTTGGGACGTCCAGGGCTCCCTTCTCTCTGTGTCTGTGTGCTGGCAGGCTCTCCCTGCTCCCCTTGAGGACCGAGGACTCCCCAGAGGCAGTGCTGTGCCCGGGGCCCGGGGTCAGGGCTGTGAGGGAGGGAGGCCCTGGCCTCCCTCCTGGTCTCTGTCCTCGGTCCTCAAGGCCCTCACCTGGCTGGATGTACTGTCTGGCCTCGTGGGCGCTGAGTGGCAGCACCGTGGGCAGCCCCGCCTCAGAGCGGACGGCCTCCACGTGCAGGAATCGGCTGGTGATGTACACGTTGTCGAAGCTAAGCCGGTTCAGGTAACAATACCGGTAGAACAGAGCTCTGGGGGGGTACACGTGAGGCCCCCTCAGCACCCCAGCCCCCAGCCCTGCCCCCAAACTCCAGCCTCCCAGGAGGCCACAGGGACGAGCTGCCACCTTGCAGCCGGAGCCCCCAGCCCGGAGCCCCCAGCCCCAGCCCCCAGCCCCTCACTGGAGGTAGAGCACTGAGAGTAGCAGAGGTGTGGTGTAGCCCATCAGGGCCAGGGCCTCCCGGACTCGGTGCAGCTTCATGCTGACGGCTTCGTGGAGGTCCAGGGCCACCTGGGACAGGCTCCGAGAGGCGTTGAGGTCCACGGAGAAGTGGTGGGTGGCTGTCACGTTGAATTCGAACTCCCGGCGCACCCGGTTAATTAAGTTCCTCACAGCTGGGGCCAGGGGGTTCAGGGAGCCGGGAGCCGGCAGGGTTAGGAAGGGGAGGGCCTGGCACAGCTCCCAGGCCACAGCCGGGACCCCCGGAGGAGGAGGGGACAAAGCCCCCGCGGTCCACGCTGTCACCTCCGCAGGCCTGACACCACAGCCCCCCACCCCCGTCACCACCCATCTCAGTGCCCTGCCCGGGGCTGGGGGGCGGAGGGGGCACAGGAGGCCCTGGTCCTCTCCCCCACTCCTGCTCTAAAGCCCAGCTGTGGCTGAGGCACCTGCTCGTGGCTGGGCCTCGCTTCCCTGGGTCCCTTCCAGGCGCCTGTAGTCCCGCTCCGGCATTCTCATTCAGGACTGGGAGCGCTCCCAGCCTGGTGAGGCCGTGCCAGGAGGAGGGGAGGCCACGGGCAGCAGGGCTGGGAGGGGGCCACTCACGGGTGCCGAGGGTCTTGCGCAAGAAGGTTTGGATGTACTTGGGGACGACGCAGAATACCTGGACCACTGAGACCGAGCGTCAGGAGAAGTGAAGACACGCGGCCCCTCCTGCCTCCACAGTGGCTCCCAACCTTCTCCCCGTTACGCCAGCCCCCACACCGGTTCCTCTGTCTCCCCCACCAGCCCCATAGCGGGCCCAGCCCTGCAAACGGACCCCCCACGTCCTGGCTCCCCGAGCCCGCAGGCGAGCCCTGGCTCTCACCACTGGCCAGCCCGCACAGCACTAGCTTGAAGGGCATGAGCACGTAGCACAGGTGATAGGCCTGCGGTATGACCCGCATGCAGCTGTCCTTGGCGTCTTCGAAGACCCGCGTGCACTTGAGGTAGGGGTTGCCCAGCTCCGCGTTGCACACGTCGCCGATGTGCAGGATCCAGTACCACACGTTCCGCAGGGCCCTGGCTGGGGACGGCTGTGGGGCTCGTGCCCAGGCCTGCAGCCCTGCGGCACCTTTTCAGGGACTTGGGGAACCCAGGGCAGCACCCAGAGCAGGAGAGACCTGTGGTCAGGGGCCTGGCTGCGCTGTATCCATCAGGGACCGGTCAGCACCCAGGAGGGGCCCCAGTCCCGGACAGGGGCGGAGGTGAAGAGACAGGGTGAATTTTGAGCCCCGCCCCCCCCAAAAAAACCCCAGCCATGCTGAACATGCTCACCGACATGCTTCACACCGTCCATGATGGACCGAAAGAACTTGCGGACCCGGTCGGCCACCTCCTTGGCCTTCTGGGCAATGGCTTTAATCTTGTTCAGGGCACCTGAGAGGCAGGGGCAGGGGCACTGGGGGGCTGGCTCTCCACGGCTGCAGGGTGGGGCGGGGAGAGGAGGCTGCCCCCTGGGAGGTGCGGGAGCGAGGCGCCGTGGGAGCGGAGCCGACCAGTGAGCAAGGAGAGGGGGTCCGACCGGGCGCCGGAGGCGAGAGTCCGGCGCCAGCCACAGAGAGGGGCGGAGCGGGAGGGCTGCAGACCGCGCGAGCAAGGGGGCCACGGGGCCTTACTGACAAGGGGCTGCTTGGCCCGCTCCAGCACCTCGGCAGTCTGGTTCAAGGCCAGCTCGGCCCCACAGGCCACGGCCTCACTGGCCCGGGTGAAGTTGCGCAGGGTGTTGGCACAGGGTCCCTGTAGCACCAACCCAAAGGCCGCCACCAGCAGCAGTGTCCGGCCCTGCTCTGGAGGAGGCGGCTCCGTGGGTGCAGGGCCCTAGCCTCGCACACGGTCTCTCGCGGAAGCTCTCAGAAGATTTCCCTCAAACGGCCCCCCGCCCCCAGGACCCCCTCCCCCCGGTACCCCGCGCTCACTGGAGAAGGCCTGGGGCAGCAGCAGGAAGACAGTGACCCGGACCTGGCGCGAGAACCCCATGCCCAGGCTAAGGAAGGCGGCCAGAGTGAGGGTGCCCACCAGGCAGCCCCAGGGGCTGTGTCCTTCCACCAGCAGCTGCAGGATCCCGTAGGCCGTGGCCAGGGACAAGCCCAGGCCAAACCCCCCCATGCTGCGGACCACAGCCCGAGCCATGCTTGACTCCTCTGCCCCCAAGGGGTGCACGGTGTCCTTCGTGACTCTGGGCATGGTTGCTGAGACCCGATGTCCGCCCGTCTCCAGGAGATGCCCACCAGGTTCCGTGGCCCTTCCAGGGTCCCGGAATGCCTCTCCACATTCTAAGGTTCCGGAGGCTTGTACTGTATCTGTCTTGGAGAGCCCGACCCGGCTGCGGGCCTGGAGAGGGGACGTAGGTCACTCGTCTCCTTCCCCAAGTCTCAGGGCAGAGGGAGCAAGACACAGACCTCACCCAGGCTGTGGGGCGGCAGAGGGGACAGAAGCGGACCTCTGCGCCCGAGGACATCCTTGAGGACATTTGTGGGACGAGAGAGAGTCCCCAAAGCGAACCCATGGCTGGCACATTTCCTCAGGACGGAGCGACGAGGAAAAGAAGGAAGCTCCCCCACACCAGTGAGTCAGTCACAGGGACCCTGTCCTTTCCCAGGGCCGCTCAGCCAGTCTGTCCCCTCAGACCCCCACGCCTGCCCCCACCGTGCGTCCCCCAGTGCCCCCTCCAGCCGAGACCCTTCCTCCTCTCTCCCTCACGTCTGCCCCTGCATCCCCAGGGCCCCCCATCCTCCTTCAGGATGCCCCCCCACTCCCGCCACGCCCACCCAGGTCCCCCCAGGCTCGCCCCCTGCAGGCCCCTGACCCTGGCGCAGCCCATCCCAGCCAGAGGAGTGGGCTGTTGGCCCCAGTGTGCTTGCCCCCCCCCCCCCCCCCGCAGCCGTGCAGAGGCTCCTGAGCTGGGGGCTGCCTGTCCCCTGCAGCCGGTTCCTGCAGCGCCAGCCGGGATCTTTTCCCATTGCCGCCTTCCTGCTGGGGGCGAGCTCCGGAGGGCTCCTGGCCCTGGGTGAGTGCGGGCAGAGGTCAGGGGTGGGGCCCATCTTTTGCCCTTGGGCTTGACCCTGCACCCTCAGGTCTCTTTCAGCTCCTGGTGAACCCTATGGACATCTACGAGGGTCAGAAGATGGTGGCGTTGTACAGCGTGGTGGGTGAGTACCGTAGGGACAGGGGCACTCGAGAGGCCCGTGGAGCAGGCCTGGGGAGTCCCAGGTGCCCAGGGAGGGGTCCGGTCTTGTCTCTTCCGCGCCGAGCGTCCCTCCCGGCCCCGGCCTCCTCTTGGGCTTTGAGGGGAGAGCCATAGGCCCTCGGCCTGTGGGAGAAAACCAGTCCTAGATCCCCCTAGGGCCCTCCCCAACCAGCAGGACCCCGTGCTACCCGAGCCCCAAGGGTGCCCCATGTCTCCTGACCTCTCTGACCTCGTTTCCTGCTCCTCCCGACCGAGTCCGTTCGTTCGTCCGTTCACTCCTTCCTGCGTTCATTCAGCAGCCCCTGAGCCCCTCTGGGGGCTTCTGCAGGGAACAAGGTCGAGGGCCCCCCCGGAGAGAGTTTAGGCGGGAAAGGACAAGAAAGGCACAGGAGCGTTTCTGACGGTGACAAAGGGGCGTGGTGAGAGGGAGCGGGGCCGGTCGTCAGGGAAGGCTTCTCAGAGGCGGCACTGGGGTGGGGGCCTCGTGTGGGGAGCTGTCGGCCTGTGAAAAGAGAAAAGCCACCTGAAAGTGGTTTAACCACAGAGAAAGCTGATTATCTCACGTAACAACAAGTTTCAAGGCCGAGTGGTCTTTGGAGTTTGGATGATTCTGCAGCGCAGTCCACCTGCCAAGGACCCAGGTTCCCAGCATGTTTGGCCTGGTGACCGTTCGTCTTCAGGTGGTGCATGGGCGACCACAGGTCCAGGCATCTTACCTTCATACACCAATGTTGAAAGACCAGAACATTCCTTCTTTACGTCTCTTTTAAGGAGGAGGAAAACGTTCCCGTCCCCCCAGCCAGCTTCCCGGTTCCGCTTGCTCGCCAGCCCCCTCTGGCAACGGACCCGTGTGGGCAGCCACAGGACCGCGGTGGGCCCCCATGGATGACCTTTCCCACGGACCCTTCACTTGCCGCTTATTTTCATTTATGAGACCCAGTCCTGCTTCCATAATTGTGACTATTTCTGGGGTTGGAAAGGTCCAGCCCAGGCTATACCCAAATCCCACCTCCCTGCACTCTCCAGCATCTTCCCTCCTGGCGCCCCGGCCCCCAGGCCACCGACTGCTGGCGGGGGGTCCCCCAGGGAAGGGGGCACGGCTGCCCTGGCTTCCTTTCCCCACTTCCTTCTGGGTCTTCTGCTGCGAGAAGGGATGAGAGGGACAGAGGGTCGGAAGCCTGAGGTCGTCCGTACTGGGAGAGCCCCACTGCCTCGGGGGGCAAGCCGTCCCACCGGGTGCCTCGGGGGCCTTCCATGCTGTCTCTGGAGGCTCCGTGTGGCCCTCCAGGGTCCAGTCTCCTGCTGAGAGTAGCTCTATCTGGCTGACCTCATGTAGCTCCTACCACCCGCAGCAAACGGGCTGCCCCTGGGAGGAGGACCTCCCAGATGGCATGAGGCCTGCCGCCCTCCAAAACATCCAGAGAAAGTCATCCACCCTTGCCCTGCCAAAGTGGGAAAGCGGGTGCCTTGCGCTGCCCCCTCCCCTGCCGCCCCGAGAAGCAAGCAAGGCTCTCAGGTCACATTCCCCCGTCCTCCCCAGAGGCCCTGCCAATACCGCCCCGACCTGGCCTCCCACGCTGTGCTCGGGTGGCTGCCCAGGGGTGGCCTCTGGGTGCCGTGGCTCAGCAAGAGCCACCATCCCTCTGTCCGTCTCTCCCGGGTCCCGTGAGGCCTCTCACTTGGCCTGGAAGCGAACGCCCCGCCTCTCTTCAGCCTCCCCTCCCATGTCTGCCTACTTCCACCGCTTCTTTTCCAGAAAATTCCATCTCTGGTCTTGTCTCTGTATATACTGGTTGGTAGAGGTCAGCCTCCCCTCCCATGTCTGCCTACTTCCACCGCTTCTTTTCCAGAAAATTCCATTTCTGGTCTTGTTGGTAGAGGGTCAGAGACTCGTTTTGCCCTGCCGGTGGGCCCAGAGAGGGTTCCCAGCGCCCGGGGCTCTCTGTACAATGTAGGACAACTACTTGCCAACTACCCTGTAGCTTGAGTCATTGGCCAGAAGGCCAAGACCACGGAACAAACCCTTTCCGATGTCCTGTTAAACAGTGATTGGGAGAGACAGATCCAGATTTACCCCCAGGGGCTGGGGCAGGGACTGCCAGTTGGCCTTGAACGAAACTCAAGTTGTGTTAGCAAGGAAGAAGGCAGACACACCGTCGGGTGGCACCAGACGGGGCTCGCAGCAAACCTGTATGACCAGGTGAAGCCAGCCAGGTGAAGAGCAGCGCTCCTGGCAGAGGTGGAATGAGCTTGGCATAGTGCAGGGCCGGCCGCAGGCCTGTGTGGGCGGGTGAGGGAGGCGAAGGGCCGAGTGGCCCGGCAGAAGCCAGGCAGGGGGGCCCCATCACGGGGGTCAGTGGACCACGCTAAGGAAGCTTGGACTGGACCCCAACTCTGGTGGAAAGTCCGCGGCTGGTCTGAAGCAGAGAAGGGACAGGGTCAGCTGGATGTGCTTCCAAGGTCACTCTGGCTGCCTTGTGGAAACCCAAGTACAGAAGGGAAGCAGGGGACCAGTCGGCCCCCGGGAGAGGCAACGGGGACCCCGTGAGGGCCCAGGAGAGGGAGGGAGGAAGTGGAGGGACTTTGCCTTGGTGAAGGCAAGCACTCCATCCCACAGGAAGCTGCTGGGTTCCCTGCCCAGCTACGCTGTGTCCCTTTGGCCTGGAATGCCGTCCTGCCTCCTAACTACGCTTTACTCATCTTCCAGCCCCAGCTGACACGTCAGCGGCTTTGTCCAGCCTTCCCAGCCGCACCCTCCCCACAGAAACGCCCGCTCCCACAGCCCCGAGAAGCGCCTCCCTTGTGCACTTAGCACTCGGGGCTGTAGTCATCTGTTTACTCGCGGTCTCTCTCCCTGCATTACGAGCTCCAAGGAGTTCTCTGTCTCCTTGTGGAGACCACAGGGAGACACCCGTGAAACTGCTAACACACACCAGGAGGTGCATGATTAAGGATAAAATTAGGGCCGGAGATTGTGAGTGGGAACAGTGAGGTGGCTCTGAGCACCAGGGACTGTTTCCAGAACTTTCCTCTTGCGTTCCCTGCCCCCTCAGCACCTGGGGTGTGTGGGAACCCAGCCTGGAGAAGAGCAGTGCTTCCCCCTCCCCAAACACACACACACACACACACACACACACACACACACACACACACACACGTCGTCTGCGGGGGGGGGGGGGAGGCCGGCTCCACGCCCCTCCCCCGCCGCGGTGCAGCTGAGCTCTGTACACGGCTATTCAAGGAGCGCGTGAGCGGCCTCGGAGGCCTCCCAGCGTCGGTGTACGTGGGGGCAGAGGCAGTATGGCCATGGCTCCAGAAAGAAGTTGGGGGGCGGGTGCTCTGCTGAGCCTGGTGGGTCAGGCCGCATCCTCACTCCGCCCCACCACCTGTTGCTGTCTCCCGACAGGCTTGGGCGCGCTGGGCTGGGGGACCTCCCCTCACATCCGCTGTGCCAGCCTCCTGCTGGTGCCCAAGATGCTGGGCAGGGAGGGCCGGCTCTTCGTGCTGGGATACGCCTTGGCCGCCATCTACGAGGGTGAGCGTGTGTCCCTGGGTGCCAGTTTGTGACTGGAGCAGGGTCCTGGGTGGGCCACCCGATGAGACCCGGGCGGCTGAAGGGGAGAGACTGGGAGTCTGATCCCAGCTGCTCCAGCTCACTGGGTGCCCCCGAGAGAGTTCCTCCGCATCTCTGGGCCTCCTCGGTTTACACAGGGAAAACCCAGCCGGAGGTGAATGAGCTGTCCTCTCCCAGGCTTCGGGGCCCCCTCGCTGTACAGTTCTAGAAGGTGCTCACCGTACGCAGAGCGGGAGCGGAGGGGGCCCTCAGGAAGTGACTAGCTGCGGAGGGAGACCCACTGGGGCATCTTCCCCCAGGACCCGCGGCCAACTTGCGCTACAACCTGAACGAAGTGATCGCGTCGCTGGGCTGCACTGTAGAGTTACAGGTCAACAACAGCCGCGCAGCCTGGCGCGTCTCCACAGCCCCGCTGCGGGCAGTGTTCAAGGACCTGCTGGTCAGGGCCCCGCGCGCACGGGCAGGGCTCTGAGCTCCTCTCCCCTGGGGGCTGGCACGACTGGAGCTGGGAGCTCTGACCCTGGACTCAGTTTCTCAGTGGGGCACCACTGGCATGTTTTGCTGGACTGTCCTCAAACATTGCGGGATGTGCCCTGGGCACCAGCTGCCAGGAAAGCCCCCGCCCCCCGTCATGGGACCCGCACCCCCCATTTCCAAACACCTGGGTAGGCGGTACTCTGGGCCGCTGAACTAGAATGTCAGGAAATCGGGGGCCAGGAAGCCTGGAGGCCCACAGGATTGCGGAATCGGCCTGTGGAGGACTGGAGGCTGGGGGTGTGGGAGAACTGGAGAGTTGGGGAGAGGGACTGACATCGGGGACACTGGGCCTGGGGACACTGAGATGGCACAGTGGTCTGGGAGATTAGAGCGAAGCCCCAGGGCCTGGGGAGCCTTCCTTCACTAGCGGGGATCTGAGATGGAGGCCGGCGGAGGGGCTGGGCGCTGGGCGGGGGCAGAGCAGGGGCGGCTGTTCGCAGGGCAGGGGGTAGAGGGGTGTCCTGAAGACTGAACAGTGGGGCGCGGGGTGAGAGGCTGTCTCGGGGCCCGGGCTCCATCCAGGCCTGAGGGAAGAGCCCGGAGCTCGGCCAGAGGACAGGACAGGCTCCTCGGCTGCCCCGCTGACCGCTCCTTCCTCGGCCCCCAACCCCAGGGCAGCAAAGATTCGCTGAAAGCCGAAACTCAGAACATCTCCAAGTCTTTTGAGGACCTGGATGCCCAGGTGAACAGTGACACTGGCTACACGGCCGAGAACACCACGGGCTTCGAGGGGACGGCCCGCAGTGTGAAGACTCACCGAGCTCTACCTCCCAGGCACCGTCTCTCTACACAGAAGATGTATGAGCTGAAGACCAAACTGCACTGCTCCCGTGAGGGCACAGGGGGCGTGGGGGGCGCAGGCCGGGGCCAGGGCTCCAGGCCGGCCGTGGGGACCTCATCTGCCCCCTGCCCCTTCCCGCAGATGTGGTGGACCGGGCCATCCTCAGCTGCCGCCGCTGGTTTGACCACAAGCATGAACGGTGCATGCAGCGCATCTGGGTCCCGCTGCTCAAACACCTGCTCTGCTTGCCCATGAAGTTCAAGTTCTTCTGTGGCATCGCCAAGGGTCAGCGGGGCAAGGGGAGGGCGGGGGCGCCGGAGCCGGCAGCGGAGTCCCTGGGGACTGCTGGGTCGGCATGGGGCAGGAAAGCCATCGGGCGGGCAGGGCTTAGCCCCCCCCCCCAGCCTGGCTATGCCACCCAGCTATGTTTACAGCAGGCTCCGGTTCGGGCCCTTCATCTGAAAGATGCGCCTCATAGTAGTACTTATCCCACTAGGGGGTTCTGAGGATTTAAGGAAGCAAGGAACAGAGCTGACACACAAAGGGATTTTCTTATAAATTTGCTATCGTTATTAATAGCGGGCATGGTTACAAACAGGTGAGAAAAATGAGGGAAAATCAGGCCTTGTTCCCAGGACCCGGGACTCACGGAGCGCGGAGAGGGGAAAGCCTCAGTGTGGACGGAGGTCATGGGCAGAGAGGCAGACACAGGGTGGGCAGGAGCGGGGCGACCGCGGGAAGGGCCGCTGACCTGCCCCCCGCCCCCCCTCACCCCACAGCGATGGAGGTGTGGTGCCGCCACCGTATCCCGGTTGAAGGCAACTTTGGGCAGACGTACGACTCCCTCAACCAGTCTATTCATGACCTGGAAGGGGAGTTTTCGGCCACCATTGAGCTCAAGGTAGGAAGCAGGGGCGCATGGGCCGGGGGAAGCGAGGGTGTGGGAGAAGGGCACAGGGCCTGTGGCAGAGCCGGTGACGAGGCCCAGGGAGGGCGGAGGGGGACAGGGACAGGGAGGGGCAGTGCCGAGCCTGTGGTGGGCAGGGACTTGACTCTGGGACCTGACGGCCTGCCCGGTGAGAGAGGGTGTCAGTCCGGACGGGCGCAGGAAGCAGGACGGCGGGGAGGAGGGGCCGCGCCCGGTCTCTCCACACAGGGGTCCCGAAGGTCCTGGGAAGAGCTGGGGGAGACGAGCAGGGCGCCAGGGCAGAGACGCCAGCAATGGCTGGTGGTTCCGCATCCGCACCTGTGCCCTCCACCAGGAAGGGAAGCAGGCAGCGGTGCTGGGCCTCAACCCAAGCTGGGAGCACATGAGCACCGAGCTGCGGGACTATGTCCGCCACCAGGAGGCCCAGCTGGAGTGGGCCCTGGGGCTGCTGCGTGCGCTGTTCTCCTGCACCTTCCTGCTGGTCCTTCACGCGTGAGCCTTCCCACCCCGAAGCCCCTTCCTCCCTGGGACGGGGGCCTGCCTTGCGGCAGCTGTGGCAGCGTGGCCAGCCGCGAGCCCAGCCCGAGCCCCGAGCCCGAGCCCTGAGCGCGAACGTTGGTTGTTTACGGAGCTAAAGGAGATGCGGGCCCGGCGTGGAGGACACGTGGCCCATGCCCTGCCACCTTGAAAGGGAGCTGGTCTTCATTTACCTGCCCCCTTCCGCCTTCATCCCAGCGCTGACTCCTTTTACTTTCAGCGCTGACTTCTGACTGCTCCCCTGCCCTTCATGTTCCCCTGGGCTCTGACTTTGCCCGTTTCTATCGTCCAGCCCTACTTTCATTTTCTGCTGCCTGCTGCGTTGGCAGCTACTTTCCCTCCATTTGGACCAAAGTCCTCAACCCCACCTAGCCTGGCGTCCAGCTGGGCTGCCCCAGGTCTCACTCTGTTTCCCCGCTGACCTCTGGACCCTCTGTTTCCTGTCCCCACCCCCAAGTGCCCGAGATGGGCAGGGGCTGGGCAAGGGTGGCCACGGGGGAGGGGGCTCCTGCCCTGTTTGTGGGGCAGGTGAGTGCATGGTTGTGTGTGTGGCGAGGGCGCCGCGGGAAGACAGAGGGAACGCGCCATCTTCCTGCCCTGAACATGCTCATGGTCTAGGGGAGGCCAGAGGGGCGCCCACAGGACACGGATGGTTGGAGGGCCATGCGAGGGCCTGGCTCCCAGGACAGGGGTGGGGGCTGAGGACGGGCCCCTGCGAGGGCCATACATGGGTTTCAAAAGGCTGCAGATGGGGAGCCATGGTCAGGGAGAGGAAGAGTGTTCTCTTGGGCAGGGATGGAGGGTCCTGTGGGATGTGGAGGGCAGAAGCTGTGCTGAAGGACGGGGCTGATGTGGGCATGGCCCCAAGAGTCTGCAAAGCCCTGGAAGCTGGAGGCTGGAGGCTGGGAGGCCCAGGTGGGTCAGAGGTTAGAGTGCCTGGCGGGGAGCGAGGCGTGGCAGGAAGCTGGCCTGAGATGGCAGCAGGAAGGGGAAAGGTGCAGCAGGTCTCAAAGCCAGCTCGGGGAGGGAAGGAAGGAGGCACAGAGTCCGCTTCCAGGCTTTCAACCTGGGTGAGGTCCCTGGCCCGGCCGCGCGGGCGAGAGGGCGGGGCGGGCAGGGCACGGGCCGGCCGCCGGCCTCTCCACACGGGGGCGCTCTCGGGCGGGCCTGCCCGTGACTGTTCGGTCTCAGGCCCAAGGGGGGTTTTACAGGGTCCCAGAACCCCTGGAACTTAGGTTTCACAGCTCACGGAGCTTACTTAAGGTAACGTGCAGTTTTAAACCCAACTCCAATAATTAGCATGTTTTCCTTAGGAAACTGAAGCATTATGTGGGACTTTGGGACATGCAGAAAGGGCCACTTCTGCGCGCACAGAAAACACTGCCACACCAGAGGGTGTGGTGGGGGGAAGGCAAATGTAGGTGGGGGGTGAGTTTTGCTTGAAGCGACCTCCAGAGGATGTTCTGCCAGCTCGGTGGAGAGGTGGATGTGGGAGTCAGTTGCAATGGCTGGTGGTTCTGCAGCCTTGAGGGGCTTCCTGCTTCCCTGTGCCTTTGCTTCTGCTCGTTCCTCTGCCCGAGACCCTGCCAGCAGGTCCATGCCTGGGAAACCTCCCTTCCCGCCCAGGCACACGACCCCCCCTGCCTCTCCATCTGTGTCTCTTTGCCTGTGTGGGCGCCTGCCCTGCACCGGCCTGCTGGGGGCTGGCACAGCATCCCCACTCAGGACATAGATGGTGCCCGGCGCATGCTGGGTGGTCTGGGGAATGACGGAGCATCCAGGAAGCCCATGGTGGGGGGTGGGTAGGAGAAGCTGGAGGACACGGAGATGTCCTCGTGCCCAGGTCCTTCTCCTACGCGGACAGCTATAATGGCGACATCCGATTTGACAACATCTACATCAGCACCTACTTTTGTCAGATCGATGAACGCAGGAGGAAGCTGGTGAGTGAGCACAGCCCTGGCCAAGGGTGCCCTGCTGCACGTCCTCTGTGGCTTCATGCTCCAGGAGGGCAGAGGGGCAAGGGGAGGGGGCCCTGGTGTCCCTCGCTGGCTGAACATTTTATCCAGGGCAAACGGACATTGCTACCACTGCGCAAAGCCGAGAAGAAAACCGTCATCTTCCCCTGCAACCCCTCGGTGCAGGCCTCGGAGATGAGAAACGTGGTGAGGAGGCCGTGGGGGCGGGCCACGCAGGGCAGGGGCGGGGTATCGGAGAGGGCCCCGTGCAGGGCCGGCGGCGCTGCCCAGCTCAGGGCCTGCGGCTCCTCGGGCAGGTGAGGGAGCTTGTGGAGACGCTGCCCGTTCTTCTCCTGCTACTACTGCTGTGCGGCCTGGACTGGGCCCTCTACTCCGCCTTTGACACCATCCGCCACCACTCCTTCCTGCAGTACTCCTTCCGCAGTGAGCCCTCGCCCTCCCTAGCAGGGAGCCGCTTCCCTGACCTGGTCAGGGTCAGACCTCAGCCCTACAATCTGACACCTGTCCCTGGGGGCCTCCGTTTCCAAGCCTCCTTTATATCTGTAACAGGGAGTGAACGGATGGAAGGTCCCGCGCAGCAAAGGATTTCTATGCCTTGACCCCCCCCAACATCCAGTCCCCATCCTGCCCCACCCCCTAAACTGCGACCCTTTCCTGACCCCCCACGGCCTCAGGCAGCCACAAATTGGAGGTGAAAGTCGGGGGGGACTCCATGCTTGCCCGGCTTCTTCGGAAAACCATTGGAGCCCTGAACACGTCCTCGGGGACAGTGGTGCAATCGGACAACATGGGTGAGCGACGCTGAAAGTCTGGGTCAGAGGAACGGAGGGCGGGGGCCAGGGTCTTTCCAAGGCGTGGCAAGAGGGAGCTCTGCCTGCTGGGGTTGCAAGGATCAGAGCAGGAAGCATCAGGTCAGACTCAAGTTGCTGGAAGATGACAGCCTTGGGTCCGAGGGCCGTAGGGGCTGGGGCCTGGGGGACACGGGGTCCCAGCGCCCTAGAGCCATGCTGTCCAACAGAACTTTCTTCCACATCCGTGCCGTGCTGAGCAAATAGCCTCACGAGCCTGGTAGCTCCAGGCCAGAAGGGGCCGCTCTGCAGGGAAAGGGGCAGGCAGGAGCACAGCAGCCCGGGGGTGCCCTGCCCGCGGCCCTGGCAGAGCCCTGACAGACCCGCCCCGCTGCAGCCTGCCTGCCCCAGCCTGTGAGCCTGGACGCCAGGGCTTACGTGAGAGCTGCACTCCCCATCAGCCTGCTGCTGTGTCTCTGTCTGCTCCAAGCCTTCGCCTACCGGCTCCGGAGGGTCATCGCTGCCTTCTACTTCCCCAAGGTGCTCCCTCCCCCAAGCTCGCAGGCCTGCACCCAGCACGCCCCCAGCCTGAGGGGCCCACTGTCATACCACTGACCCCTCTCCCTGGCCCCAGCGTGAGAAGAAGCGGATCCTGTTCCTCTACAATGAGCTGCTGAGGAAGAGGGCAGCCTTTACGCAGCTGAGGAGGGCTGCCATCCTGAGGCGGGCACAACAGCAGAAGGCTCCAGTAAGTCCAGGCCTCCTTCCCGTGGCTCCTGTGGTTGTGAGGGCCACAGCCGGGGCCTCTCCTGTCAGTCCGTCCAGCCCCAGGGGCCCAGGCCTATGGAGCTCAGCGAGTTCTGACGGGATGCATGCCAAGGGCCCTGGTCATCCAGCTCCTGGGGGTCAGGGCTGCGTCCACCTCTGTCCCCCAGGATTCAGCCCAGCCCGAGACACTCAGTGGGCCATCCGGAAGCAGGCAGAAAAGGGAAGTCCGATTTGATATGGTCTGGGGCTAAAAGAAAGCAAGGGGGCTCCTTCAGAAACAAGGGATGGGAGGCAAGCCACAGGATCTACTGAGTGTCTTTGGGGGAGGCGGGGAGGCGGGCGGGCTGGGGGGTCCGGAAGACACCATGAAGGGTCTCATAGGATAAGGAAAAAGCACAGGGCCAGAAGAACCAGGTTCCAGTCCACACTTCCTCGTTAAGCTGTGTGACCTTGGCCACGGTCCTCACCAGACCTCAGTGTTTCCCTCTGAAGGACAGGGAGCTTGGACAGATGTGTAAAGCCTGGTGCAAGGCCTGTGCAGAGATCAGCAACAGCGTGGCAGTGGGGTGCGGGCTGCTGGTGTCAGAGGACCTGGGTTTGAGTCCTGGCTCCCTTCTTTTTTTTAAATTTTTTTTGAAGATTTTATTTATTTATTTGACAGAGAGAGAGAGAGACAGCGAGAGCAGGAACACACACAGGAGGAATGGGAGAGGGAGAAGCAGGCTTCCCGCCGAGCAGGGAGCCCTATGCGGGGCTCGATCCCAGGACCCTGGGACCATGACCTGAGCCGTAGGCAAACACTTAAGGACTGAGCCACCCAGGCGCCTCCCCCTTTTTTTTTTTAAGATTTTATTTATTTGACAGAGACAGACACAGCGAGAGAGGGAACACAAGCAGGGGGAGTGGGAGAGGGAGAAGCAGGCTTCCTGCCGAGCAGGGAGCCCGATGCGGGGCTCGATCCCAGGACCCTGGGATCATGACCTGAGCCGAAGGCAGTTGCTTAACGACTGAGCCACCCAGGCGCCCCCTGGCTCCCTTCTTCATTGCCATGACAACTGCGATCTGGAGGACTGACTAATTGCTGGGCCTTGGTTTTCCCTTCTGTAACCAGAGTGAGCTGCTACTCCATCTGGTTGTTGTAAGGACTAAGGAAATCTCACTCTTGTGGCACAGGCATCTAGCAAGTTCCATGCACATGCTAGTTGTCATCATGTGACCCTGGGCAAGTGACCGCCTTTCCAAGCATGTTTTCTCATCTGAAAGAGAAATGATAACAACGCCTGTCTTATGGGGTTACTGTTTGAGTGAGCTAATTTATTTACACTTTCTTAGCAGTACACTGTGTACTACTAAGGACCCAACATTATTTAAAAAAAAAAGAAAGAAAGAAAGAAAAGAATGGCAGCCATTCTTAATCAGCCCCAACAGAGCTCGTGAAAGTGAGAGACCATCTTTGCTTGACTTTTCCTCCAGTGTCTAGATCCTCCACCCCATGACACAGAGAGGCTAAATGAGTATGAAAAACTGAACATACTGTGATTCCATGACCTGGTCGTGAAGGGAACTGCATTTGGGTAGGCAGGTGGAAATATGAAGGGCATTCGTCCCAAGCTAAGGGAACAATGTTCAAAGACTCACAGCCCAGAGGGAATGTCAAGGGCCGGGGCTAGTCTGAGAGGCTGGCACAGAGGATGCCAAGTTCAAGCTGGGGCACGTTAGAGCAGAGGCTAGAAGGGGACCAGAGCGTGGAAGGCTCTGCAGGCCAAGGCCAGGAGTTCTGCCTTTGCAGTGGGGCCTCTGTGGTTTCGGTGGCCTGCAGAGAGGGTTGGGAGCACGGTGAACCAGACCTGTCATCAGGAATCGGGCCCGGGGACAGCCAGGTTTGACTGCTTTCTCTCTGTGCGCCTTGGGAACTCGCTTACCCCTCCCGAGACTCCGCTTTCCCGCCAGTAAAGCGGAGAACACAGCAGAGATAATCTCGCGCGCCCTACCACCTTCCCCGCCCACCGTGAGAACCAGATAAGGTGGTTTACAGGGAAAGAACAGGTGGTGGCTGGGGGAAGGAGCGGAAGCTGCACCCCATTCTCCATCACCGAGACGGGGAGGGACGCTCTCTGCACCCGCTGCCCTAGCACCCTGGCCCTGCAGGGCGCCCAGCACGTGGGCGCTGCCTGGCGGCGCGCGGTCCGGGACCTCTCGCAGCCCTCTCTCCCACTCGCTCCCGGCAGCGCCACCGCCTGGCCGACCTCCTGCTCCGCCGCTGCCCGCTCCTGCGCCACTGGTTGCGTGGGCGCTGCGTGGTGTGCCAGGCGCCCGAGACGCCCGAGGCCTACGTGTGCCCGACGCCGGACTGCGCGGCCGTGTACTGCCGGCCGTGCTGGGACGACATGCGGCGGCGGTGCCCCGCCTGCACCCCGCGCGAGGAGCTCTCGTCCTCCGCCTACAGCGACAGCAACGACGATGCCACCTACGCGGAGTGAGGGGGCGTCCTGCCCACCAGCTCCTCTGCGGTTAATAAAAGCCGGTACACTCCCCACGCCCGCGCTTCCCAGGGGTCTGACCGGCAGTCCGGAGACCCGGGCCGCCGACGTGACGCGGGAGGGCAGCCAAGCTGCGAGGAAGGGGTCCCGCCCCGGGCCGGGTGGAGGCGCGCCGCCCAAAGCCGGTCGGTCGAGGCCTCGGCTCCCACCGCGCGCAGCAGCGGGAACGCCGCAGTGGCGAGCGGCGAGCGGCGCGGGCCCGGGCCCTCCGGGGGCGGGGCCGCGGCCTTCCCGGGGGCGGGGCCTGGCCAGGAGCCCCGGGGCGGGGGCAGGACGGGGCGGGGCCTGGTGGCCGCACGGCGCGGCGGGGTGCGCCAGGCAGACCCGGCGGCCGCGGCTACTCGGCGCGCGGCCCAGCACCTGCTGCCCTCGCCCGGCCCGGGGCGCTGCTGCCATGCGGCTGGCGCTGCTCTGGGCCCTGGGGCTCCTGGGCGCAGGCAGCCCTCTGTCCCCCCGGCCGCTCCCATATATAGGTGAGTGCCCGGCCCTCAGTGGGCGGGGGTGGGGGGGTGGGCGGAGAACTGACCGGGAGGAGGCGCGGGGAAGCCAGGAGGCACTGGGGTCGGCTGGAGACTCGGGGAGACCCCCAACCAGAGCGCGGCCCGCCCTAGTTCACTGTCCTGGCTGAGGGCCCGGCGACTGGGCGATGGAGTGGAGAGAGGAGGGGGATGCTGCCCCCCCGCCCCCGCGCGGTCATCCTCTGCTCGGTCCCCGCGGACACTTCCAGGCTCCGGTGCCGGGCACCGAAGGCCCTGGCCCAGCGGCCCCTCAGGATGGTGGGACAGGGTCGCACCTCCCCAGGACTGACGTTTTCGCTCCTTTGGGGCCTAGCTGACCATTCCCCCCGGTGCCAAAGCGCCGAGTGGTCACGGCCGGTAGGGTTTGGCAGAGAGGATTCTTCTTGGGCCCCCTTCCCAGGCCTGGAGCGGCCAACGCACCCCTCGCCCTGATGATGATGCCACCAGAAACCCGGCGGAGCGAGCGGGAGGGAGCGCGGGAGGAGCCAGGGGAGGGGAGAATTGGCCAGGAAAGAGGCTGACACCCGACTCCTCCTTGGAACTTTCACTTCCCGCTGCTGTCTCGGGCCAGGGGCCGGGAGGGCAGGCGCGGGTGGGCTGGCCTCAGGAGAGAGGGCCATTGTGGGGACGGGGGTGCTCAGGGAGGAAGCTGGGCTGCGGCGAGCGGGTGTGCCTGACTGGGTAGGGGGGGTGTTTAGGGAGGGGTGTTTGCACTGCGCACCCAGAAATGGGCGTTTCCGGCAGCTCCGCAGTGAGGACAGGGGAGGGCGAGTGGGCACCGGGCCACAGGGCTTCGCCCAGGCCTGAGAGGGGGCGTTCCTAGGGGGCTGATTACGAGGGAGTAGGAAAGGGGGCTCCCCGCCAGAACCTGGCATTCGCCTGGGGGGGGGGGTCGGGGAGAGGCGTAGGCAGGATGTGCAAGGTGGGGTGCTGGGATGAAAGTTGGGAGCCGCAGAGAAGACCCTTCCCTTCAGGATGCTCCTTTAAGTCCCAGCATGCAATGCAGGAGTCCTTCAAGCAGAGAAGGGCCCGGGTGCCCAGTGGGCACCAGCTGTGCTCAGCGCTGGTGCCGGCTCTCTCAGCACCCTCTCGGGGTGTCCTGGGCGCCCTGCAGGTGGCACTGAGGAGGAGCGGGCAAGGCCAGAGGGGGCCCTGGGTGGACCCTCGGAGCCCCAGATCCTTCCGGACATCCCGACACTCAGCCTCACAGAGGTGTTTCAGGTGAGCCGCCCTCTCCCCCAAGTGAAGAAGTACACCCCACAGAGCAGTGTGCCTGAGGACAGGTGAGTGGACCCCCGTGCAGCGCGGCCAGCCCAGGGCTGGCTGCCCCTCCCGCCAGAGGCCAGCACCTGGCTTCGCTTATGCCCTCAATATCTGCCCCCACGCCTGCCCCGGCCTCCGCCCCAGCCAGCTGTCCGGCTCCCCTGGGGAAACCCTGAGGCCAGACTTGCTTTCGTGGTCTCATTCTGTCAGTTTTCTCCCCGGGGGAGTGGGGGGCTTGGAGAAGGTCAGGGCCTCACCAAACCCCCCCTCCCCAATTCCAAAGCTGAGTCAGAGGAAGGGCTGGGGCCTGCACTGGGTCTTCCATGATGCTTCCTCTCTGGGCAGGAAGCCGAGAAGGGGCGGCTCAGATACCTTCCTTGACCTCCCCACACAACCCCCCAGAACAATGCCCCAGGCCGGGCAGGGCTTCCTGGCCCCTCCCTCGGGACCCCCCCACCCCCACCAGTGATCTAATCGTTGGTGCTCTCCGAAAGGCCTGAGGTTTTCTGGTTATAGAGGATAGGCATTTCGGGCAGGGCCAGGGAGGTGACAGGCCCTCTGCTGCCCACAGGCCAAGCTGCCTGAGGCCTTGCGGATCCAGTTGGAATTGGATGGTGAGAGTCATGTTCTGGAGCTGCTACGGAACAGGTAACAGTGCTAGTGGTCCCATTAGTAATGCGGATAACGTGGCAGACAGCCATACAGCACTGACTGGTGCTTGAACTCATAACAACCTACAGGGCAGGTACTATTCGCTATTACTGTCCTCGTTTTATATATGAAGCAGTCAAGGCACAGAGAGGCTAACTAACTTGCCCAAGGTCACACAGCTAGGATGCAGTAAAAACCAGATTAGAACACAGAGAGCCGGGCAGAGTTTGTGACCCAACCACTATACTCTGCTGCCTCTGGGGGAAGCCCAGCCCCCAGCCCCCCCTCTACCACCTCTCAGGCCTCCAGGCTGTTCCTGCACTCCCCCCCCGGGAGGTAACTGTCACCGCTTTGCTTTTTCTTCCCAGGGAGCTAGGCCCAGGCCACCCGAGCCTGATGTGGTACCAGCCTGACGGCACCCGTGTGATCAATGTGGGACACACTCTGGTGAGTCTTATGTCCTGTTTCTGGCCTAAGAGAAGAAGGCAGGGGCCATCTGGAGGGTGCCTTCCCTACAGGACGTGGGAGGACACCACATATCTTCACCAGCAGGCTAGCCTCCTGGTCTCCAGCCTGGCCTTCAAGGTAGCACTGCTATTTCTCTGCTGTAGGAGAACTGCTGCTACCAGGGAGTGGTGCAGGGCCGCGTGGGCTCCTGGGTCTCTGTCTGCACCTGCTCAGGGCTCAGGTACAGAGGGTGCATCCCATGTGGGTGGGGACAGTGAGGGTGCATGAGGCGTGGAGCTGAGAGGCTTTCTGACTTGCTGGATCTTCCCAGGGGTTTGGTGATCCTGTCCCCAGAGAGAAGCTACACCTTAGACCTGGAGCCTGGGGACCTCCGGGCCCCCCCAAGTATCTCCCGGATCCAAGACCTCTTCCTGCCAGGCCACACTTGTGCCCTGAGCTGGCGTGCATCTGTGCCCACTCAGACTCCCCTGGAGCCACCCCGGGGAAGGCTCCACAGCCACACTCATCGGGTGAGGATGAACAGTGGGCTTTGTTGTCCCCGAGGGCCAGGCCCCAGACCCTCAGAGCCCTGCGTTCCCAGAACCTTCTAAGGAGCAATTGTCCACACCCCTGTGTGAACATAATCTCCTTTCCTCTTCCCAGCAATGCTGGGAGGTATGTCCTATCAGTAGCTCCATTTTAGTGAGAACACTGGCTCGGAGAGGTTAGTGACTTGCCCAAAGTCATTCAACTAATGAATGATATATCCAGGATTTACATGCCGGCACTTGACCCAAACTCCGTATCTGTCAGAAGATCCCCGAACGCAGCGAGCACTCACTTGGCTAGAGATAATACAGTTACCAGTCATAAAGCAATACGAGTCCAATCTCCTGATTTACAAAACGGGGGTGATAGGGGCGCCTGGGGGGCTCAGTCGGTGAAGCGTCTGCCTTCGGCTCAGGTCGTGATCCCGGGGTCCTGGGATGGAGCCCCGCATAGTGTCAGGCTCTGTGCCCAGCAGGGAGCCTGCTTCTCCCTCCCCCTCTGTCCCTTCCCCTGCTTGTGCTCTCTCGCTCTCTTTCTGTGTCTCAAATAAATAAATAAAACCTTTAAAAAAAAAAACGGATAATAAAACTACTTACCTTTCAGGGTTATTGTGGAGATGAACTGAATCTATCTATTTATCTATATATGTACAGTGCTTAGAACTGTGCCTAAAGTGTGGTAAGTATATGATGGTGTTGACTATTTTTTTGTCTATTTTTTAAAGCTTATTTATTTATTTTTTAGTAATCTCCACACCCACTGTGGGGCTTGAACTCACGACCCCGAGACCAAGAGTCACACGCTCTACCAACAGAGCCAGTCAGGTGCCCCTATTATCTTCTTTTTAATTTGGAAAAGGCACTGAATTTGGAGTTAGAAAAGCAGGCTCTACTCCCAGCTACATGACCTACTCCTGGGTCTACCTTGGGCAATTCACTGGCCTCACAGGCTCTCGGTGGGTCATCTGTAAAATGGGCTCTCTGCTCTCCTCCGGCCCGGCTGCTGACCGTGAGCAGTGCCGAGCCTGATGCTCCTCCTTCTTGCCCACAGAGGCGGCGGGACGTGGTGACAGAGACCAAGACCGTTGAGCTGGTGATTGTGGCTGACCGTTCGGAGGTGAGCTGGCCCGTGCACGTCCTCCCCTTGCCCCCACCTGCCCTGCAGCTTTTCCTGCTCACTTCTGGGGCCCGCAGGTCCAGAGGTACCCGGACTCCCAGCACCTGCTGAACCGCATGCTGAAGGTGACCCTCCTCCTGGACGCCGTGAGTGCCGGGTGCTGCGCCGGGAGTGCCGGGTGGGGCAGCACCCTCGCGGCCCTCTGACCCCGGGGCCCGTCTCCTGAACCCCGGTTCTTTCAGTTCTTCCGGCCCCTGAACGTGCGGGTGGTGCTCGTGGGCCTGGAGGCCTGGACCCAGCGGGACCTGGTGGAGATAAGCCAGGACCCAGGTCTCACACTAGACAGGTTCCTCCACTGGCGCCGGAGAGATTTGCTGCCTCGACTGCCCCACGACAGTGCCCAGCTGGTGACGTAAGCCCCCCCTCCCCCGGCTCTGCTCTGGCCTGGCCAGGGTCACACCCCCTCCCTATCTGAGGCCCTGAA